TCTGCTGTACCATCCACTCTGCCCCGCCTGCAGAAGGTTTGTTGTTAGCACGCCCCTGTGAGTGGGATGTCTGTGCCAAGATTGCATTCATTATAAAGCCCTTTGGGGATGGTGTAGGAACCACAGCCCCCCCAAATCCGAAAGCTGTGAACACTCCTCAGAGGGCACCCATTCAGAATTTTGCCTACAATTTCTCAGGTTCTCCATTGGCCTGTGGCTCTTCTGTGATACGAATTGTATAGGGCTCAACCTTTTTAAACGACCTCAGATGTACTTGGGAAGGTGAACTCTTTGATATTGTAACTTGCGTCTTAAATCAGATGAATCCTAAGCTAGCACAAAGTTTTTTTTTTTTTTTTTTTTTTTTTTTTTTAACTGCGGTTGTTTTAAAAGCTGCTTCTTTGGATGTAGCGTGTGGAAAACCGATTTTCCTAAGGGTTTTCCTCATTACCGGTTTCAGCATTTAGACCAGTAAGGAACAGGAACAATCTATAATGAGCCTGTGAAGTTGGTTTTCCTGCTTAGTCTTCAGCAGTCATACATGCTGAATATAAGCCCTAGTCTTGGTACTGATTTGATGTGGAGTCAATGGAGGAAAATTTGAAAGCATTGGTTCCTCCGATGTAATATAAAGTGATAAAACTTCCAGGTCATTTTCTTGGGACGTCTGAATTTTTTGTTAGTTTATTTATTTATTTTTTTAAAGTGCCTTGAGAGGCAGAGGCAGGTGGATCTCTGTGGTATCGAGGCTAGCTTGGTCCTATATAAAAATGTGGGAGGAGGCAGTGTTTTTTTTTTTTTCCCTTTATGTGAGAAATCAAAAGAACTAAACTTTCTGAGGTTGAAGGGAAGCATAGTGGAAAGTTCCTCCAAGATGTATTCTTTCTAAGTTTATCATCATCATTCCTTTTGATTGCTTCCAGGGATTATCTGGAACACATAACAGCCATTGGCCCCAGGACTACAGGAAGTGCAGAAAATGAAATTCTGACAGTACAATACCTTTTGGAGCAGATCAAACTGATTGAAAGACAAAGCAGCAGCCTTCATAGAATTTCAGTGGACATACAAAGGCCTACAGGCTCCTTCAGCATTGACTTCTTGGGAGGTTTTACAAGCTACTATGACAACATTACTAATGTTGTGGTAAAGCTGGAACCCCGAAGTGGAGCCCAGCATGCTGTCCTGGCTAACTGTCATTTTGACTCCGTGGCAAATTCACCAGGTATGTACTTGTATAGTCATTTCTAGTCACTGCAGCCTAGAAAGTTTATTAGCTTAGCCCCAACCGTGTTTTTCCTAGACCACCATTTTCTCGTTGTGATGGAAGTCAAGCTAATTATCAGTTTAGAGTCTAACAACGAATATTCCCTTCCGTTCATTATTATTACTATTGTTATAATTATTAAACAGTGGCTCACAAGCCCCGTGACAATACATGAGACATTTTTGGTAGTCTGAAGTAGCCTTATTAGTTGACCATGTGTGTGTCCACTTGTAAGTGCTTATACAGCCAGGGGTTGCAGTAGGCTTTGGGTGTACTGGGTAAAGGATCCCTGCATTTCAGGGATACATGGTTTGGAGGACATTACTTCTAGAAGTTTCCGTTTACTTAAAAAGTTAGAATTACTGTCCACTGAGGGTACTGTGACATTCTGGTAGAATACTTAGCCTAGTGCTCTGAATAGATATTGGCAAGATAGAAAACTTGATGTTTAAGACAATGACTGACATAATACATATTTGTCAAATCAGTATAAATCCCCTAAATTGAACTTAAGATTTTCCAATCAAATGGCCCTAAGAAGCAATCAGGTGTAGTTATCCTAATATCTAACAAATTAGATTTCAAACTAAAATTAATCAAAAGAGATGAAGAACGTCATTTCATATTCATCACAAGAAAAATCCATCAAGATGAAGTCTCAATTCTGAACATCTATCCACCAAATACAAAGGCACCCACAGTTGTAAAGAAACACTACTAAAACTCATATCACACATTAAACCCCACATACTTATAGTGGGAGACTTCAACACCCCACTGTCATCACCACTGGACAGGACTATAGACAGAAACTTAACAAAGAAACAAAGGAACTAACAGAAGTTATGACCCATTTGTGTTTAATAGACATCTATAGAACATTCCATCCAAACACAAAAGAATATACCTTCTCAGTGCCACATGGAACAAAAAAACCCAAAAAAAAAAAAAAAAAAAAAAAAAAAAAAAAAAAAAAATTGAATAACCGCCTGTATCTTACTGGACCACCATGGCTTAAAATTAGAATTCAACAACAACACAAATTGCAGAAACCCCACAAACTCATGGAAATTGAACAATGCTCAACTGCATCACTCCTGGGTAAAGGAAAAAATAAAGAAAGAAATCAAAGACTTCCTAGAATTCAATGAAAATGAAGACACAACATACCCAAACCTATAGAATACTCTGAAAGCAGTTCTAAGAGGAAAATTCACTAAGTGCCCACATGAAGAAACTGGAGAATAGCCACACTAGAGAATTAACAGAACACCTGAAAGTTCTAGAACAAAAAGAAGCAAACTCAACCAGGAGGAGTAGACACCAGGAAATAATCAAATTGAGAGCTGAAATCAAAGTAGAAACAAAGAAAACAATATAAAGAATCAATGAAACAAAGAGTTGGTTCTTTGAGAAAATCAACAAGATAGACAAACCTTTATCCAACCTAACCAAAAGTCAGAGAGAGAACATGCAAATTAACAAAATCAGAAATGAAAAGGGGATTTAACAACAGACATTGGGGGAAATCCAGAGAATCATCAAGTAATACTTTGAAAACCTGTACTCCACAAAATTGGAAAATTTAAAGGAAATGGACAATTTTCTGTATAGATATCACTTACCAAAATTAAATCAAGAATAGATAAGCAATTTAAATGGACCTATAACCCTTAATGAAATAGAAGTAGTCATCCAACCAAAAGAAGTCCAGGGCCAGATGGTTTCAGTGCAGAATTCTACCAGAAATTCAAAGAAGAGCTAGTACTAATACTCTTCAAATTGTTTCACACAATACAAGCAGAAAGGTCATTGCCAAACTCTTTTATGAGGCTACAATTACCTTGGTACCGAAACTACACAAAGATCCAACTAAGATAGAGAACTATAGACCAGTCTCCCTCATGAACATTGATGCAAAAATACTCAATAAAATACTGGCAAATTGAATCCAAAAACACATCAGAAAAAATCATCCACCATGATCAATTAGGCTTCATCCCAGGGATGGTTCAACTTATGAAAATCCATCATTATGATCCACCATATAAACAATCTGAAAAAGGAAAACCGCATGATCATCTCAATAGATGCTGAACTTTTTTTTTTTTTAATTTAACTTTTTATTGATTCTTTGTGGATTTCACATCATGCATTCTGATCCCATTTATCTCCCTGTCCTGTTACTTCCAACCTCTGCCCTTGCAGCTTCCCCCAAAACAAAATTTGAAAGTAAAACCAAAAATAAAAACTAAAAACAAACAAAACACAAAAACATAAAAACATCACAGCATGGAATCTGTAGTGTGGCCCAGTGAGTCACACAGTTTACCCTTTAGTCCATACATCTTTACTTGTAAGTGTTCATTTTATTCTGTCAGTGGGAACTTTTTTTTTTTTTTTGTTTTTTTTTTTTTTAAATATAAGATTTCTCAGCCAGGTGGTGGTGGCGGCGGCGGCGGCACATGCCTTTAATCCCAGCATTAGAAAGGCAGAGGCATGTGGATCTCTGGGCGCTCTAGGCTAACCTGGTCTATCGAGTGAGTTCCAGGAAAGGCTCCAAAGCTACAGAGAAACCCTGTCTCAATAAATAAATAAATAAATAAATAAATAAATAAATAAATAAATAAAAGGTAATTCAGAAATATGTGTTCAACAGTTTGAATGGTTTTTTCATGTGTCCTGAGGCCAGACTCTGGATTGCTTTCTCCTTGCAGTAGCACCAAAGAGTGCATGATACATTGGCAAGAGCAATGGTAAGGAAACATTTAAAACTCTCTTCAGCTGTTTCATAGGGTGTTGGCTGAAGTGAATGCAGCCAAAACTTAAACCAGAAGAGGCATTATGCTTCCCCAGAAATTTCAAGGAAAAGCATTAAAATGAACGGTAGTAGCTTGGAAGTGGAGAGATGCAATTAGCTTGAAAGTTCTTCCAGGATGTAGATGTACTGATGTAGTTGTGGACCACAAGGATTCTTTCTTGCTTCTTTTTTTTTTTTTTAATGTATCTATGAAATGGGGTGTGTGTGTGTGTGTGTGTGTGTGTGTGTGTGTGTGTGTGTGTGTGTGTGTGTGTGTGTGTATACGTGCACTTACTTGGAGGGCCAGGAGAGGGTGTCCGATTCCTTGGAGCTGGAGCTTAGATATCTGTGAGCAGTAGTGGCTGTTGTGGGTGCAGCCCTCTGAACTTGCCCTCATGATTAAGCGGCAAGTTTTCTTAACTGCTGAGTTTCGAGGATTTGCTGTTGGGTTATTTTTTTTTTTTTTTTTTTTTTTTTTTTTGAGACCGGGTTTCTCTGTGTGGTCCTGGCTGTCCTGCAACTCAGAGCTTCTCTTGCCTCTGCCTCTTGAGTGCTGGAATTAAAGGTGTGCACCACTACCACTGCCCAGCTCCAAGGATTAATTTTTATTTATTTAGAGATAGTGATGTTTTTGGAAAGGATTGATAGAGGGAAACAAAACCACTATTGAAATGATATTATATGAAACCTCATTGTACTTAAGTCCTGAAATCTTTTATCATGTAAGTAAATTTCCATGACTCTCTCTTACAGTGACCTCATGTCTAAACCAATGACATGCATAATCTCTAAAATTTCTTCTGTATATACTCATGTAAACATTCACAAATAAGACATGCAAAAACAAAAACAAAAAACAAAACCACCACCAAAAAACCCAGGTAATATAGGCAGGTAAGAATAGAAAGTAGTATTTCATAATGGCATCCTGAGATCTTAGACTTAAGAAGACCCCTCTTCTGACCTCTGATCACACGGAGCTAGGGTAGGTTCTGGGCCTCCTGGCCAGGAGGAGGGTATCTGAGTATCATTAGACCTTCTCAGGCTTATTGCCTAACTTATTCTTTAACTTCCTAACTGTTAAATGGAAAAATAATAGTTAATTTCCTGATAGTATAGATCAAAGGATTAAGTGTAAATAAAACATTAGGAGAGATTCTTTCAAGGCAATCTTCCCTTTTTGTTGGTACTACTGATAACAATATTTCTGGATGTTTGAATGTACAGCAGGCCCAATATAACCATCAGAGTTACATGTGACATAAACTAGCCTCATTTTGATGAAATGATTTTGCGACTGGACATTTCTTTGCATTTAGAATATGCTTTGCTTGTTCAGAAATCAGTATCTACACAATTTTTTTAAAAGGCAGAAGTGCCTTATCTTATGCTAGGGACACTAGACAAGGCCATCCTGTGCTTAAATTGGAAAGGGACACATGATGCTCTGGTATTTTAAGAGCACTGTATTAGGAAGACTGGATATATAGGTATCAAACAAATGTAAAAACGCTGATTTTTTTCTTTACCTTTCATAATTCTTATGTAAATACAGAAAAGCAGACAAGGCTATTTCCACGTGCAGCTATATGTGGGCGATACCAAGGGAAAATGAACCATTTCAAAGTGGTGGTTCAGTTCTCTGGCTTAGATATTGTTGTCATCAAAGAACAAAACTTTTTGGAAAAGTGACAAGGCAAAGGGAAAGAACCAGGTGGGAGAGTGATTGTCCCCAGTCCATCCTCAGTGCTATGGGAAAACCAAAACCAAACCAGAGCAGAAAAGGAGAAAGCCCAGAGCCTGTGGGCAGCAAATGCTGGAAATGATGTCATGTATAGGAAGTAAAGTCTAGTTGGCTGAGTTGGCCGTCTGTAGGCTCTCAGGGCTAAGGTTGTCTTTGGAGGTTAACCTTTGTCCTTCCGGCCAGAGGCTAGGTGGAACACCTGTACAGATTTATGTTCTGCTTTTAGGCAAATGGGAGGAGGGTAGGGAGCTTTTTCCCATTTCCTTCTGGATTTCTGTCACTACCAAATAACCTTGTGTTTGTGTTTTCTGCTGCTCTTCACACAGTCCCAGGTGTGTGGCTTTCATGTGGAGTCCACTAATGAAAATATTCTTTGGACAGCCATTAGAATGCTCCCCCTTCTTTTATACAGGGTCTTATGTAGCCCAGGCTAGCCTTGAACTGGTTTCATATTTGCTATGTAGCTGAGGACGACCTTGCTGAGTTTGCCACTATGCTTGGTTTAAATGACTAAAGAGATTTTTTTTTTTTCCCAGATTGAATCTATGGCTTTCTGTATGCTAAGCAAAGCTTATTTCTATCTTAGAAATCATTTTTACCTAAAATTTTATAATACCCATACTAATAGTGTGAAGGAAATTTCAACCAATAATAATCTAGGAGTAGTTTTTCACCCACTCAGCAAATAGTTGTCGCCTGAATCCTTTCAGTGGATGAAGTCACTGAAGCAAGAGTGAGTATTTGTGTGTGCACACATGCTGGGGATGGAACCCAACACCCATACTGGCCAGGCAGATGCTCTACCACTGAGCTGTACTCCAGCTATAGGAATATTATTGAGACACCCTCAGCAGTGTACTCTAGGCTGGCCTGAGCCTTACTAGCAATTCTGCTTTAGCCACCAAAGGACTGAGGTCTCAGGCCTGGCAGTCCTGCTCAGCTGTGTTTTTTTTCCTGTGAGCATTATTTTTAAGTTCTCAGCAGCGTATCTGTACCCAGGAATTGATACCAATTAGAAGTAATGTCACCCACAGAAGGGCCTCTTTTATCGTCTCAGCTCTGCTATGTGCTGCCAGGTCATCGGTGAAAGAGACATTTGAGTTATTTTGGGGTGGCTTCAATTTCAGGGTTGATTCTAAAGGGGAAGGGATGTCAGTTAATCACTCAGCATTTTTACTGTTCGCTTTCTTAAAGGTATTTTGACCCCTTTTTGGGTCTCTTCTAAGACACTAGAACAGTTAAAGTAGGGGAATATGAATGGGAAGTTAATTTGTCAGTCAGCCATATAAAGGTAAATTTTTTAAATTTCACTTTTAATTAGAATAAAGAAAAGTGTTACTATTTGCTTTTTATTTTAAAAGAATAGTTTCAAATTAAAGTGAAAATGTTTTGTGTTTTCTGAAAAGTGGCACACATTAGCTCTATAAGCTTATACTCCCTGCTCTAATTAATAGTAACCAGGTAGCCATTATTTTGCTTCACTCTGATTAATTACTAAAATACAGTCTAATATTCACCAAGAGAGGTGTCATTAATTATGTTTCTTTTAGAGCAGAAGTGGGTTTTAGAATTTAACAGAGCACCAAAGCAAGCATTTTATTTTCCCTGGTTATGGAGGCTTCGCTAAGTTTTCAGAGAAGAAAACTAAGGTGGGATGTTTCCCAGGAGCCAGGCAATGGGTGTTGTCTTGTTTAATCTGTGCATAACCTGTGAGGTGGAGCCATCACTCCGCTTTCTAGACCAGGAAATGGTAAATGACATCCTGCTCTCCAGTCCCCACCGAATGCTGTAGCCCTCGGCCGCACTGCGTGCACACCCGGAAGTGCTACTGCCTGAATTAGGGTAGTGTTTACTTACTCCAAATGCCCTTCAAACTCCTTATCATGAGAAAAATCAGATGTACAAAACAAGAATTGCTTATTGAACTCTGGTGTGCCTCCCACTTTCATTCAGCCCAGTCTCTCTCTCTCTCTCTCTCTCTCTCTCTCTCTCTCTCTCTCTCTCTGTGTG